CATGTTCCACAATAGAAGGGAATTTCTTGACTGAGTTAGCAGTTATCAATTTCTTAAGCAAAAACTCTGCACGACAAGTAAATAAAATCAATAACCTGGAGTTTCATCTACTCTCTGACATACATAATTTTTTGTGTCATGGAGTGTCACAGAATTAGATGTCATAATGGATGCATACTCTCCAAAACAGACAGAAATACACCAGAGTGTGCATGGCACATCCTTCTACAAAATGTGGAAAGTTTATTAGTTAATTAATTAGGGAGTCAAATAAGTATAAACAGAAAGAACTCATATAATGTATAATGTGGTAAGAACAGCCTGCTTCAGCATTGTCAATTATTCTCAGCTTCACGCACGAGATCTATTCTCACCAGATCCAGCTGACCCTTAGGAGCTTTCGAAGTCACCCTTTCTGTTGCTGTCATCACGTCCTTGAAGTTGACACCAGAGTAATAAATATGCACCAGTTCCTCAATTCGTTCTGTCTGAATGCTGTAACATACCAAATTTTACAAAATATGATTCTCTACACTGAAGCATCACACTCATGAGTAGTTAACCTATCAGTTGATACAATTTTGCAGTAATACAAATCAACTCATTCCAACAAAAGTAGTTTTAAATTAATGGAATCTTTCAGGTGATAATACAGTATAATCCCCATCTGAAGTCCCTCAAACAAATTTAAAGGTTATGAAGTAAGGCATTGGCCTCCAAGTCATAGATAAAATGCTCAGAATAAATGACATCCAGGTTAGATTTTTCTGCATGATTTTCCTCCGACAAATATAAGAAAACTCTAAAACTGGGAAATACTATGCTCTCACCATGTTTCCATGCCAGGCCTATGCTGTGTATTACCAGTTATGGCCACCATGCACACCACAATATCATCAGGAAAAAATGTAGCCCCATCCCATTGGTACTATTTGGCTACTTCCACCTTGTAATGCAAAGACACCTAAACACAACACTATAACCGAGACAGAGATGGCTGTCTTATGGGATGTTTTTCCGTGTAGTCTGGTAGAAATGAGAGACATTAATCTGATGACGTAGCCAGCAACCACATTATTGTACAGAGTTAGCCCACACCTGTCAGGGTCCAGATTTCCCTCCAACCACCGGAAACTGGAGAGATCTCCTCGTCTCATGATGTTCACATAGGCGTGTGGCACAGTGACAGTAGCACAGCTGTCCAGGGGGAGGTGTCTGTATGACCCCCACTTTCCATCAATGTATACATTAACAGCCAGATCTTTCCTCAGCTGTTGCCGGTAGAATGGTAAGTTCAGATCGAATGGGGGTGCTGAGGTATCAGGAATAAAGTAACACCTGAAAAATATGTGTAAAATCTTACATAATTCTTATACTCAAATGAATCTTCTGCTTATTTGATTCCAAAGGAATAAAATGCTATCAAAGAAAGTGCCGTGTAGGCATACAGGGGAGAGAGGAGGGACAGTTCCTTCCTGCACTCAACCTCATGCCCTGATTATGCTTCATCCCACAGGAACATCTACACAACTGTGTGGAAGCCAAACCTCATTCAAATACAATGTCTCTTACCTAACAAAGTCACATCCAGGCTCCTTGCGGATACAGTTCACAAGACCCACAATGCCACTGAGTGGTTCACCCTGAGCTACAAGAATAATGTGACGTTTGGAGTTACTACCGATGGCAGTCTGTACTTGCGGCAGCCAATCATAGTTGTGAGTTGTTACATGGATCACAATTGGATTTTCCACGACCACTCCCTGCAACAGGCATTACACTTCCTGAACACAATACATTACCACATGAAATCAGTTACCTAACCAAAGATCCTTAATTCACTTTTGGACCGACTGGAATTCTTTTTTATTATTCACCTTGTGGAAAAAAATTAGTGTTTCTTGGTTTATTTAAAGCCACATATCAATTGTGTGCAATTTATCACTTTTCCAGCATTTTAAAAGCACAAATTGATATACTTTTCAAAGGTCACATTCATATGATTGGACTGAAAACTTGGTATACTAAGTGCAAGTTAGTTATTGAGAAAAACTCTGACTGGTGCCACTACCTTCCTGAGCAAGAGCAACTTCTCATCCTTGAGAGTCTTCTCAAACACAACCTCGAGCCTGACGCCATTGGTGAACGTGGTCTTGGTTTCCAGTTTCTCACGAGTCAGGATGCAGGCCCCATCAGCCAGGGCACTTACAGTGGTCTGCAGCAGTTGTCCATGGGGCAGGATGTTCGAAGCGATTACCAGTGTGCAGTTCTGCTCGTTCTCTAGTTCGTGCTCCTTGACCTTGATCCCCGTCTTGTTCAAGTCTGCCTCCAATCGGTCACTTGCCTTTGCCAGGACTGTTATTTTTGCCTGTAATGTATAACATGTGCAAAGATAAGTCAGAATTGGCTTGCTTTAAAGAGTTCCAAATTTTAGTTAAGAAGTTTCAAAGCTTCAGTTCCAAATCCTTTATTCATACTGAGAATAAAAACATAATAGCAGCATGCAAAGTCCTAAAGCTGTAGTTACGGTTAGAAAGACACATTGCACACGAGAACAGAACTTTGTTTTTATGACCCTTCCACAAAAAATTATCACTACCATTTTAGAAGAAGCAGATATTCCCTAGCATAGAATCAAACAGAGCAAAATATACAAAACTATAATTGTGTCCGTTGTTTCGTATGGCCACGAAACTTAGTCTCTCATATGCCGGGAAGAACACAAACTGAGGGTGTTTCAGAACAGAGTGAGGCATAGGTAGAACATTAAATTTACTATGAATAATACAGAAATATGATGAAAGGATTCAGACTTGATTCATCTAACTCAGCTATGAAGTATAAGCCTGAGAACCCAGCGACACACAGTTTGAGACAGAATTCCACTTGCCTTTATAAGTGGAAGATCTGCAATGATTGCGGCCACGGCAGGTGACAGAAGTGCAGTGCCTTCGTTGTGCAGCTCCACCACCTTTACATGGGCACCAGGCTTGTTCTCCAGAGCGATGTGAGTGCACACCCTCAGTGCACTGTGCAAATCAAGGCGCACAGGTTCCACATTGGGTGTGAACACACATTTCTCGAGCACAGCCCTGCCCGCATTCCTCCGCCGAGTTATGGCACTTTCTTTGAGCCCTCGCACTTCCACACCTCCTGATCTGATGATGCCCATCTTCTCATACATACATACTGGCGCAACTGTCAACAAGCATAGTTAACAGTTGCAGAGTTCATTGGAAACTAAAATACTAAACACCTGGTATAAGCTGTATTGGAATAGTGTAGGTAGATTCTGAACCACAAATTTTAAACATCTATTTCGTAACATACGGTAACAGCACAGCATATTTACATCATAATTAATACGCATCTTATAAAAATTCAGGCTTTCGTGTTAACTATAACATATGTTCTCGGGTAATTAGCTAAATCCACTCTAGAGACAGTCTAATGTTTCAGAGACCATACCCATACTACTGTCAGGGAAGGATGACAAAGATAAAGAATATTTCAAACAATCTGGACTCCCACTTAAGATTTATGTGGCTGATTGCATGAGAAGTTTATATCACAAAAACAGTTCTCTCAGATCATTCTAAATTTAAGACATTGTATAATATGAAATTTGAGAAGATCTGGATTGTGGGCTCCAGAAGTATGATGCCACTTAGTCTTGTAGGTAGTTACCAACATTTTGGAGAAACATACCGCCTTCACCTTCAGTTAAGTAGTGAAGATGGACACAAAAGGTTCCTACGAAGTATTTATTAAAACCTGCGAGACTACGTGGCATCGTAACACACACACGGTAACAATCCAAAGAAAGCATTAATGTCTGACACTGACCCAGTTTCTCACTCGCATCGCCCAATGCATGGAGAAATGCAGGATGACGTTTCACATCTATTGTAAGCTTCTGGATTGACGTTGGAACGAGCAGACTTCGACTCTCATCCTGTAGCAAATGTACCTGCAGCATGCTGTCCATGAATGCTACCCAGTTGTTGCTCCAGGAGATCTTTCCTTTTTGTCCTGCCAAACGCAACACAACACAGGAAAAATATTCAGACTTGAAGCATTACACTCAGTGCAAAATAAACATATAAAGGGGATAAGTTTTGAATAACGTATATTTATGAGGACAGATTTTTAAATTGTATTTCATTAAATATAAACCATATCAAATGATCTTTCAAAGAAAAACTGTAGACCTCAGTGAGGTCTGCCTTTCGCATTATATTTAAAATTTAAGTATGATTAACAGTTTGTGACAAATATGAAAAACTTAAATTTGAGACTGATATAAAGTATGAGTTAAACTTGAAAAATATGAATCAAAATTAAAATTTCCTGGTAATTATTCATGTATCTCCCATCTGCAATGAAGCAAGTGAAAACGCAGATGAACAAGTACTGTGTTCCATTATACATTCATTTTACGCACTTTATGTGAACAATACTCACCAAAGTTGTCCAAAGAAACAAGGCTACGGAAGATCCCTTGGTAGTTGTACCCACGCAGTTGTAACTCCTTGTATATGTCATCTGATGAAAGTTCAAGCCAACTGTTGATACTGTTTGGCTCATATGACTCCAGAGAAGCCATTTCATGAGAAATATTCTCAGGTATTCGCACTGTACCACTCACAATGGCAGTACCTTTTTCAGACACCTCAAACTTTCCACTTCCTTTCTGCACCATAATAGCAAATTCTATGCTACCTGTAATAACACGACTTCGGCATTAGCACTTTAAGGGGTGATGTATAAAGTAACATTTAGATTCTAAGCAAAAAGTAAAGCTGTCCCGCTACATGCCATGTAGGCACTTCTGGGGAGAGGAGGTATATCTTTGACCTCAGAAATATATGAGGGTGAGCGGTCTGCGTCACGCCCTGACTGCGCTTTACCCCTAGGAATAGACCCTGGTACCCATTAGATATGAGGTTAGTCGGCTTTCAAGATTAAGTGGTAAAAAGAAATTCTTTACTCAGAAACTCCGTGGAAAGAGAAAATAGTCGAGAATCTAGAACATACACAGGAAGATAATATTAAAATTAATGCTATGGAAGCAGATAGGAGTGCAGATATGAATCTGAGTGAACTGTCTCAGGACACGGACTTACGTGGAGATAGTGTCAGAAAATAACAGTAATCCATTATCAGGAAATATGTTCTTAATAACCAGGGCAGAAGAAGCATGATGAACTATACGATACATACCTTCCTTGGGAATGTTGGTAACCCTGTGAAATTGTACATCCTCAAACACAACAGGTAATTCAGTGTGTACTTGACTGTTCATAATTCCAATCGACTCCCAGACAAGCTCCTACATAAGAGCAAATTATGCATTAAAATGAAGGTACCTGACAGCAATACAGTGCTATGATGCAGGAGGTGGATCGAAAATTGTGACAGTGAAACAGAAATTGGAGGTACAGCAGATTCAGTAACAAAAGATTAAAGAAAACATGACTGACTCTTTACTACTTCGCCATAATCTCATCAACACCTAAAATCTTTGTAACATTTGCAAGAAAGAATATATTCTCAGACTTACGAGGTAACCCATGGCAGGAAATAGATTTCTTCCATCAATAACATGTCCAGACAAGTATTTCATATCCATATCATCCAGAGTGATGCTCACAGATCGCTCACCACTGGACTTTACTTTTTCCTGCATGGAACAAGAATGAAAATGCCATTAACTTCAAGAATTCACACGTGAGACAAATTAACTCATGTGAGAAAAGAGGACTCAATTCTGCTTAGATATGAAGCAGATGATACAAGAAGTGGTTATAAGATATTTAATGTTCTTACAATAAGAATGAGACAAAGTGATGCAGTTTTGTTGAATTCTAAGGGAGAAGAAAAATAAATTATATTTCTTTCTTAAAAAGGAGATAATGGAAAATACAGTAAGTCAGATGTAGGATTTAAAGTCTCCTTGGGTGATAACCCAGGTGAGAATTGTGTTGTGATCCAATGTTTTAGAGACTGTCTCAGTCTCTGTCTCCAAAACGTTGGATTTAAACTCCATTCTCTGTCTCAGTCTCCGTTTCCAAAACGTTGGATTTAAACTCCATTCTTGTGTGGTCGCCTGAGAAGATTTCAGTGCACAGCCAAATCAGACATAAGGACGATTTTCTTTGACTGGCAAGTTCAAAATAATTTTGGAATAATCTCACAGTAATCTTTCTTATCTTCAATTCACCTTTGTATCTCATGTGACAAATATATTCCTACGATTTGTGTGACCTGGTTGTTAAGGTGATTAATTCAAAACTATGACATTACCTGAACCATGTATTTCATGACGAACCAGTCTTGAGAGTGCTCCCATCGTACCAGTGGTGAGATCATAGGGGTTCCCCTGCTTACTGGATATTCTACGGATGGATACAATTTTGCTAACTGTGGCTGCAATCCCAGCTCAAACAACCTGTCATACATAACAGTAAGAGACACTTTTTCCTTCCTTGCCTGTCACTTTCACAATTTTAAACACACCATGAAGTTACATTCACATACAGCAAATATAATTAAAATATCATAAAATAATGAAGTTTCTATAAAAATATTAGATATTGTAAGTAAGAACACAGTCTAATGCCTACCAAAAAACAAAATATTCTGCATTATCACACCAAAATTCCTGCGGATTTCATTCCCAAATGTAAGAAGATACGTACTTTCCCAGAGCAGTGAGGAGGACCTCGGTGCAGTCAGGGTGGCCTCGCCGTGTAATGGCAATATTGGTGATGCCTTTGTTGAGAGATCGTTTCAAGATGGCCTGCAGGAGACCATGTGGAGCAATCTCGATGGTGATGGCGTTATGTGGGATGTGTCGCGACGCCTCTTCGAAAAGCACTGCGCTGAGCAGGTTGTTGGTGTGGTACTCGGCTGATGAGTGTGTTGCTGATGGAGAGTTCCATTCATTCTCTGGCACTGAGGAACTCACCCAGCGAGAAGACCGAGGCTTTGGGTGCGGGATCAGCTGCATACATAAAAACACACCTAAGCCAATCAATATATACCAATACAGTCTCCATGGACTTATGCCCAGCATACTATTCAGTCTATTACAAACCCAATGTTAAAATACACTTGTGTCATTCATTTAGGTGAATTTAAAACACAACAAGCATATACTTTGCAGCAATTAGCATGTATTGAGCATTTTTATTCTGTTTAAACCTACAGCTGGTGTTTAAACCCGCACTAGTTGTTAAACACTGTGGCTGCATTTAAAATGAAAGAATCATGGATCCCAGGGAAGTGGAATAGGAGGGTATGGATTGCATTCATATGGCTAAGGATAGGGGCTGATGGTGGGTTCTTATGAACACAGAAACGAACTATCTGGTTCCACAAGGCGCAAGGACTTTCTTGCCTAGCTGAGAAAACTATTAGCTTCCCAAGAAGAAATATGCTCCACTGAGACAGTTTATTTGAACACGGGTTATGACAACTTTGCCATCATGCAATTTTCACCATTTTCAATTCTCTTAAGTCAAAATATTTTCCTTTCTGTCCTGTATTAAAAGTTATTTTTCTCACCATGTAAGACCAAAACTTATATCTGGCCAACCAGCCAACCTATTGATCAAACAACAAATCCTTCATCATAAAAGCCTATCACTGGAATCCATCTTAACCCAGATCAATTACATTCACATTTTTTGGAACTTTGTTCCCTAAAATAAACTTTATGTTATCTTTTCCCAGGAACACAAGAATTTGGAAAATATGTATCTTAATCTTCAATATGTTTAACATTAGACAGGTGTTTTAGTAAATTAATTTAACAGTGTGTCAAGATAAAGTGAACAGACATTACCTGTTTCAAATATTTGAGCAGGAGAGGCCCAGCTGAGGATATGTATCTGCTGTGGTATGCAATATTGGCGCAGTTCACCTCTTTTGCAAACACACCCTGCTGCTGCAGTGTTTTTACAAACTTCTTCATGGACTCAGCTGGTCCTGATAGTGTGCAGAAGCTAGATCCATTATGGCACGCCACCTCGATATCAGGAGGACACAGTTTCTTGGCCTCCTCAGCTCCCAAACCTCAAAGGCAAGATCCTTGCTCATTAACAATAACTACTCCAATATCATCTTGTTTTCTTATCATTTCCTTATACGAAGTGGTAGAAATAACCACAAAACAATTGCCTCACTAACTCTCTAGAGACAGAACCCAAAGATCAAACACTGTTAATACCAAAGCTTACCTTTTGAACCAGTTCCATCAAATATCTTTGCCAAAACAGTTAGAACTTCTTATTCTTCTTCTTATCCGGGAGGTGCAGCGCTCAAAGCTAACATCCACATTCATATTACCTTCAGTATTCCATGTTTTCCAAGAGATTTTCCACCAACACTTCATACACATTGATGTCTCCCCCACTCAAGTCATGTGTCAACATAACCGTGAAAATTAAATCTATCACACACACATGCAGTTCAGACGCATGTTCAAATGCAAGAGATAAGTACACAAGGAGGAAAATATATCAGTGTATGAAACTTTAAGATTTTAAACAGCTCACATAATACTGTACATGCAATTAAATCAAGTATATAGTACATTAATTGGCAAAACAGGAAAAAACCTGGTAGAAAAATTGTGAGCAGGCAGACTTACCAACAGCAGCCATCAAACCATTGATGAGTTCTGTTTCCAGGGATGCAAGACCACGGAAGTATGCCGCCAGCACCATCTGCTCTGCCGTGAAGCAGCCGTCCATGTAAGCGCAGCCCAGCTCCCCCACTGAGTGGCCCACAATGCCATCGGCCTCAATGCCCACTGATCTCATGATGTCCACCAGCCCTATCTACATCAGACAGACGGGGCTCAGCATGAGGTTTGCTTCACAATTTGAGGCTGCCATTAACTGTACCACTGGTAATCAAACGAGTGATCACGTGGAATGTTTATCTCTGCACGCTGGTAAAACTGGTAGATCAGCGGAGTTCAATAAATACTTCACTTGGTTTAGTGCAGGTTACGTATTTTCAGATTCGTTACAATCAAACAAATGGTTTACGAGTTCATATACGGGACAGAAGAAAAATTGTCCATTTGCTGGAAGCACAGCTGGACCAGTGTGGTTCAAAAGATAATTTGAATAGTAACATGTATACATCTTCCATACAAAACCTTATCAAAGAAGCTGAGAAGTATCATGCAAAAATATACAAACACACGTGCTGAAGATATTAAGCGCTATTCAACTTCTAGCATATGTCTTTATTTTATAAAAAAGTTATGGGTGCATGGAGGTAAAGATTCACACACTCAAGACCTTGTTACTAGATAAAGGCGACTGATTAGTATCATGCTATGGCCGCTTTGTCCCCATTAGAACTGCTCCTAATCCTTCTTGCATCTGAGGTTGGATCCCCCCCCCCCAATCCTACTCCAGAAAAGGTGTGAATAATGTAGCAGTGAGAAAAATCACTGTTCCCATCAGGAATCTTATCCTAGCTAACAGCCAATCACTTTGCAGATCAGACATGGAAATTCTGGGTTCAGGTGGTTCTTCGGCTACGTGCATTATTCGCTATAAAGATTCTTCCAATGGGTATATGACAAAGTTTATCTTCCTACTGAGCTCACCTGGCAGGCTGCAATGCCCACGAAGCAATTGAGAATATTATCGAAGATTCCCTGGTCATCAGACGTGATGATATTGAGAACATCCACACCGCAAGGCTTCAGAGCTCGCTGGCACTTCTCAATGGCCGCTGCAAAAACAGGCAGTTTGAGGAGAGATTTCCCCATACCTGGCCATTGCGAACCCATCCCAGTAAACACGAACCAGACAGGTCGTTTGCTTCCTGGATAGAACTGAGAACAAAGCAGTGTATGAGGTTATCAGAAGAAAAACTGATGTTCTGAACACACTCCTTAAATAATAATAATAATAAAAATAATTTATTTACATTCCATGGATCCATAAGACAGTCAGATGACAATAGGATGTGGAAAAAGTCATAATAATAAAAATAATAATAATACAATACATATTATAAAGTACAATTTGTACTTTTATATAAATTTCACATAATACAAAACAAAGTATTCACCTACAGAAATGATAAGTTACAAATAAATCTACCCATTACACACAAGAAAAATTTATCACTTATTTGTAAACAACGTAAATTCATTGACAGAGTAAAAGGAGTGTATAATTAAGTATCTTTTTAATGCTACCTTAAATTGCTCCTTCTTATTTACTTATTTCTTCTTTGACTCTGAAGACAATTTACAGATACTAACTCAGAAAACAGATACATCTATACGCAAATACAGAATGACCATTTCAACAGATAAATCACGCACCATATTATGACGGGCATGAAAATTATACATATTAATACTTTCAGTTATGTTGTATGTTAATTCTTACAAGTGGGATAAACAGATACACATGCAAAGAATTTTAAAATAAACAGTGTTTTAAATTAGCAAACTTTCAGAAAAACATAGTAAGAACTGTACATAATAGTTATACCTAGGCAATGAACACCCAAATTAAACCAAGAATAACAAATGGCATATGAAATAGTGCATAATGCATGTGGAAATACCATAAAATAAACCAGGAATTTTGTTAGGGAATCCTTGAGGAAAACGACAGGTATTGGACATTTAGGTCTGATGAAAGGAGAGGAAGAACGAGTATTAACTTCTTAGAAAGTAATTTGTTATCAAGATGATATGTCAGTGCTGGGCTGCTTCCTCACCTTAATACTTCTCACCGTCCTTTCATTATGAGTGAGAAGCGAGTACCCACGGTACGTGTGGCCAGCAATTTCCAGAGACTGCAAATCATGCATCAGGCTCACAAATTCCGCATCCACTGGCTGCGACTCAAACTAAGAACAAAGATCAAAATCATTATCTAATGCTCTGCAGTAACTATAAAACTTAATAACAGACTTTCAAGTTTACAGACAAATCACAAGTAGAAACTGAATATTTCCAAAGCAAAAACTGCACCCGACAGCCAAATCTACATACATATGGGCTATGATACAAGCTTACAGAATTCAATAAAAACTTCTTCATGCAAATAGAATGTTATTCAATTTCTCAAAAACAGCTGTCCACAAATAAAATCAAGGAAATATTCAACATGTGAGAATGCAGAATACATTTACGTTCACAGGTTGAAGCCTTCATCTGCGTCATAGATAAAATACATTGGGAGAGTAAAGAAAACCAGGCACCTACTGTGGTTCGGAGCCTGGCCAGCTGCTGCACCAGTCAGATAGCGGCAACATCACAGACTAAAATTTACTTACATATCCCACACTTTAGGAATTGAAATCCCCAACACCCACAAGAAAAAAAGATTAGTAAGTAGTGATTTTTCAATTAAGTCCAATTATAGTCAAAATTGGACAACAATAATGGGCACTTACATGAAAATCTATATGCATTTCTGTGTACAAAATTGTTTGGGCAGCAAATACACAGCCAGATAGGATCCCATGCAACCACAGAGGAAGACCCATGGAGAAATCCCCCTCACAACATCACCCAGGCACAGAATGTGCAGCATGACGCAGTGACAACAGACCTACTTACATTAGTAAGGATGATATCAACTGCCTCTTCTGTGCGCCCAGACACGACAATAAGTCGAGGAATGGAGTCAGTAGGAGCCCCACCATCTACCTTCTTCTTCTCATGCCACTGCAGCAGAACGTGGGCATTTGCCCCACCGAATCCAAATGAGTTGACGCCCACAAGGCCGCCATTCCAGGGCAAATTCTCAGTCACAACCTACGACACATAACAGCCATATAAAAACACCGGCCGCAGTGTGCAAGCTCATAATGTTGAGTTCTGTACAGAAATTTCATGATGGAAAGGTATAAATACAAACAAACTCCACTGAACAGAGTCCTTGAGAAGCTGCAGTCTCTCATAACAGCCTCCTACTGGATCCTTAACTCAGCCAAATTTCATGTCCATTCCAAAGAATATGTCAAAGTTTAAGTCTACAAAAGATTTAAATAAGTGAGATTACACATTTAATAATAAAATATAAATATGTATTAACCTCTACCAAATGGGTCTAAGGAATTTAAAGCCCCATACTACAGAGCTGGCGGCTGGGACTTAACTCTGATGGTCAACGGATTAGCAATATGGCATTGTGATGCAGTCAGCTGGATCACACATGTAAGATGAGGCGCGCAAAGACAAACGTTAACTGTATGCCAACAAGGTTTGTTATCTGCAATAAACATAAAGACCACTAAGACGAAGACGCGCTTCTGTCATCCAAATAAAATACTTACCTTGAGCCGCCCGGCAATCAGTCCCTCGACATCTTGCCTAGGGTTGGAATAGTTCAGGTTTGGTGGAATGATTTCATTCTCCATTGCAATGATGACCTTCGTAACAGAACACAGTCCAGACACCGGATCAGCATGCCCCATGTTAGACTTGACTGATCCTATCAGGAGTGGTGTCTGTCTTCCTTTACAAAACACTTCATCCACAACATTCAGTTCCTCAAAATCTCCAACCTGCATCAAATTAATATCTTTCATTAAAAACTGAGCTATTTTTACCAACAGCTATTAAGCCATTGAATTATACTACCATTTTTCACAGACTGTACATTGAATTTACCAAATTCAGTCTTCACAATCACTTTTTATGATTATTGACCCATTTACAAATAGGTATCTCTCTTTACACAAATCTTGTCTTGTTAATGTCATATTTAGCAAATGCTAATTTACCATCCAACAAAAAAAGAATGCATTTACCTTATTGGATTCATGCACAGACAGATCATAAAATCCTAGTGCATTCACGCAGCTGTAGTCAGTCACTAATTATTACTGCTAATACCATCTTTGTACAATGTAAAACTAGCATCCATGCAATTTATATACAATTAATAAAACACTGAAGACTGAAGTGTGTGAATCCTGTATACACACTGATCACACGCAAACCTACAAATTCTGTTACAAGCATTTTTAAATACTAAAAAGCACAAAGTAAATTATGAGATACCTCATGAATTTAATCCAATGGGACTCTTAAACTACTGAAAATAACACACATAAACGGATCACTGCTCGTATACTTATTCAGTTTACAGTTCCTCCTGTCCTCAGAGAAAAAAGCATTAAAAGCATTAAAAGGAAGGCATTAGTCATGAATTACTCCCAGAATTCCTCGTAAAAGTAAAACTGTCCTGCTACATGCCATTAAGGTGCTTCTGGGGAGAGGAGGTATACTTCCACCCATTCTTGACCTCAGCACTAAATTCGGGTGAGTGGTCAGCATAACGCTCTGGAAAGGGACAGCAGTACCTAATGGACAGGAGGCCGGGTAGAACCCAGAATCGGTCTGGATGCAGAAGCCAGAAGAGAAGACCTTTGCCACTGCCGGGAATTGAACTCCGCTTCTCCAGCCTGTAGTCGAACACTACGCTGACTGAGCTACCCCAGTTCTTAAAAAATTATCGTAAGAAACACATTTCAAGCATTAATAAGCTGACCTTAGTCCCAGTTCCATGTGCTTCAATGAAATCCAAAGATGTGGGACTAACGCCACACTCCTCATAAAACTCCTCCATTAACTTCTTCTTCATATCTCGAGACGGATATGTGATGCCCCTATCCTTAAAGCCGTCGCTGTTGGTCTTCGCATGCACCACTGTGGCATATACACGCTTTGCATCACGAGCCTTCTGCAGGAACATCACACAGATGGCCTCACTCCGCACACAGCCATTAGCTGCAAACAAATTACACGTATCAAGTCTAGAGACTGCTAATGTACAACTTACACACAATTTCTGATGATTGATTGATCGGTACATTTATTCTTTTAATCATATTTGACTCGTCTACACTCATTATTTATGGCTATATGGTTACTGAACACAATGGTGCTGGGTTGTTCTTGAAAAGTTGACAGTTGCTAAGCTGGTCAATAAATTCCCCAACTTTTATAAAACCTGAAGGTTCACTGCCCTATTCACCATCTGACATCGCCCTGAGCCAGATAAATTTAGTTTGCATGGCATTTATTTCCTACCAATGTGCCTAGTCTCCAAGGCGTCTCTTCCCTTCAGGTTGTCCGACCAAACTCCCTACGTTTCTCATCTCCCTCACTCTCGGCACAACTCGCCCATTTTGTCCTGCTTCATTTTATCACCATAATAATATCTAGCAAAAGTGTACAAAATTGGGAAGCTCCTCATGAAATTGTCTCCAGTCTCCTGTAATTTCCTCCCTCTTAGGTCCAAATGCTTTCTGCATGACCATCCCCTCAAACATCTTCAATCTGTTTTCTTACCTTAATGTGAAACACAATCTTTAAACCTGATTCACTGAAATAAGAACAGAAATAGCGAATGTATAAGACATTACTTACCATCTCTGTCAAAGACCTTCGATGAGCCATCAGGACTGAGTACGCCAAGACGAGTGAACATGAGAGATATGTAGGGATGAAGACAAAGGTTGCAGCTCCCTACAATAGCAGAGTCACATTGCCCATCCTGGATGGCTTTGTACGCGTGTTCAATTGCGTACAAAGACGACGAACACGCTGAATCCAACATGTAACTGGGTCCTGAAGCAAAGGGTTTAGAGCGCGTCTGAGTAGAATTTCAGGTTTTTACACAAGAAAATAAGAGAGCAACAGCTTTCTAGGATATGACACAGTGAAGAACACAGAAATGTAGTTGGAATGAATTAATGAAACATAAAACTGCAAGAAAAAGAAAGGTGAAAGAGAGATAAGTGTACAAGTGTAAACAGAATCTCAAACCTCACCATGTACTCCAAGCCAGTAAGAGATGCGGTTGGCAAGCATGGCTCGGCTGCAACCTATGAGACCGATCCCACTCGCGTGAAACTTCTCATAGAACATACATTTTTCTGACTCGCTGAAAGATGAGCCGACAAAGACCCCAGTATTCTGCCCCTTTAGGAGACGGGGGTTGACACCTTAACATGAAAATGATTAACTTTATGAATACTTCCCACACGATTCTACAGCACCAAATATTACATAAGAATATGCTCACAAAAAACAGTCATGCAATATTTAAATCAAATATAAAATTTCAGTTATTTACATTTGACTCCAGTCTGAAATCGACTAACCCTATGAAGAGTCATCCTTGAGAAGCTAATGAATAGTCACTCAGACAGTAAAGAAATTCCCAGCATTTTACAGAACTTGAAGGTTCATTACTGTGTTCACAAGAGCCTACCACTGGTCCCTATTCTGGGTAAAACTAATGGATTTCATGACCCTCCCACCTTCAGCTCTAATTTAATATTTTCCTCACAGGTAAACAAAGGTCTTTCAAGTGGGCTCCTCCCTTCAGGCTTTCTTAACACAGCTCTCCCAAACATGCTACATGCCCTGTGAATCCGACTCTCACTGTAACCTACGCAGTGCAGTACATACGTGCACACGCAGCAGCATTAAATAAAGAAAAATGTCAACATATTATTTTTGACAGCACAATTTAAAAATACAACTTCAAAATTTTTGGTTCGATCTCAAAATTCATGTATGTATCAGTCACGCTGTGGGAAAATCAATTTCCTATATCAATTTCTCTGCTTAGTTCTCAGGGTATGAACTCCATACTACAGAGCTGATCAGTGGTCAATAGGAAATTCCTTGTTTTCTTACAAATCCAAAGTATCAAAAGCGCACAGACAAAATCCTGCCCACGGGTCACATACTCCTTAATTTTATCGCCCTAATGCCATCATGCCAAGAGTACAAATTCTTAAGTTCATCGTTAGGTGTTCAGTTTGCGTTCTCAAAGTTACGAGGAGGAGAAGAGGCAAAATGCTGACCTGCATCCACAATGGCCTCATAAGTTTTCTCCAGTAGCATGCGGCCCTGGGGGTCCATGGTTTGGACCTGTTTGTAGTGAATACCAAAGAATGATGCATCAAACCTATTGAGATTGTACAGCTTCCCTGTCCGTGCAGGGATCTCGGGGTGATCTGTGGAAACAATACTTATCACAGAAGAATGATACAACTATCTGTCATGCCATTTAAATTCACTGTACTCTGACGCTCTCAAACAATAAATACCTGTTATACACTATATTTTATTATGTAACCCTATTGTATTAGAACAGGTAAAGAGTTAGATATAAATATACAAATATGATTTATTTATGCCTGATACCTCATAATTACAATGTTAATAGAATGATTTATGCTTGCATAAAGAAAAAGTATAAATGTTATTGTGGTACTCAGTCTTTACAACTACGTTTTGCAGCCGCTATATCAGTGCCAGATTACACGCAATTCAAGGACTAAATTATTTTAAAAGACAGATAAAGCAGCTGATAAACTTTGCGAAAAAGTATTATCCTGAGTTAGGTCTAGCATAATTTTTTCTTGGTACAGTAACATAATTATACAGATGACATATTTTAGTGTAATTAGAAACTTTACATTAAATCCCATCTCAATCTTTTCTTAACATTCCAGAATTAAAATATAAATATTAATCATTTTTTGGGGGGAGGGGGGGGAGGCAGTTCTCAACATAATGTTTATGACATCTTCAGGCCAAATTTCACATAATTAACTTCAGCAAATAATTGGTCATTTTTATTATATCAATCGTTAAGTACAGAAATAAACACGATCGTCATATTGTTATTTTACAGTGCGTAAAACAAGAAATCCCATCAACAAAGATAAACATTCTTCAAATGTCTATCACTGCACAAAACCTCAGGGCACTGTATTTAATAATGCTAATATAGCTCCCACCTCAGTACTTGAAATTCTTAATTGTAAGAAATAAACTAAAAATGTGGGGAGTAGAGATTATAACACAAAGTTTATAAAAGCGGAAGTAACATTAGAACTTACCAAGTCTCCAGCGTCGATCATCATCTGTTATCATATCCACTTTGTTAAACAGATTATCTCGAAACTGATACACATTTTCTGATTCGGGGAAACAGCCTGCAATTCCTGAAATGACGATCTCTTCGCCAGCAGCAGGAGTCTGTGACATTTGTATTCCTGTATTGCTGGAGTGAGACATGGTTTGTTGCACCTGTACGTCTTCCTGAAATTAAAAAAATGTTGTTTATATCCAGGCACAGCACAGAACTAAAGTCACGCAGAGATGCAAGCAAGCTCGCTACTTAAATGAGACCTGAGCTCACATGTGCCTGCAGCTGTCAGCCTTACATAACAAAGTTTTGTGCTCAAAAATCCGTAAATTCCATAAAGACAGTAAGACGTTAAATAACAATGGGGTGTAGCTACATGTGGCTCCTGAGAGCCTCTCAGAAGACCGTGAATGAATAACACATGCGTGAGTTCAGTATTTTATGCCAGCGAGTCTGTCTGCCCTCCTTCGAGACGTTATCCAAACAAGCTTGTGGAAATCATAAAAAATCTGTCAGAAAAGCCATTGTTCAGGACAATATTCCAACTTAGGACTTCCTGAATATGAATAAGAAGTGGATTATCACAAGAAGATGGCTGTCTTCTGGGTTCCTGCTATATGTCGTCTCACACAAATTGACCAATGTTTCACAGGCAGTAAACACCTGTGAAGGGTTGGGGTCAATTTCTACCAGACTACATGACGCAACATCTCAGAAGACAGTCATCTTCATACTGGCCACCATGAAAACCTCAAATCTAACGAACGTATTAACTGCACTGACTTAAATCTCATACAGAATACACGGCTAAAATAAGATGAATTACGTTAACTTAATAACTCTCTTTAGTTACTACCTTCTGGATGCTATACCGTATCACAATTCACATTATGAAATAGTCAGATCTTGAGTGAATATTATCTACTTACAGATTCACAATTAACAATCAAGAAAGAAAATATCTCCCCAAAATATTTTGGACACTTAATGTCAATATCCGAGTTTGTTCGCATCCAACATCATTTAAAACCTTCGAATGTCTCTCGGATGTAAGATCACACCAATCTCGCTGTTCCTGGTGAGTATATAGCTTGTCAAACCAAGAACAGTAGCATAATAAATACAGATCTGCACCCCATTACCAATTACTTTCATGAGCTTGTCAAACAAAGAACAGTAGCATAATAAATACAGGTCTGCACCCCATTACCAATTACTTTCATTCATAGCAGAAGTATTTAAACTTACACAGCTCAGTGGTCTCCTCGTAACCCCACACTGCACTAAAGACCTGACTTGAACAGAAACTGGTTTTGTATGGCATATTCTCCTAAGGACAATTACTGTTCTTGCGTGGCAAACAGGAAAATACACATATTCATAGGCACATCTGCACACAATCGCTTTTATGACTAGTACAAACTTCCCACTTCAGACGCAACATAACAAGTTATTTTTCCTGCAAATTCATAAACCAAACTAGTCTTCATTATTGAAGATACAAATCAAATTATTGGTACTACACTGTATAGAATCTCAAAAATGAGGTGGGACATCTCGACTAATAAACCGAGTAGCCGCCAGCTGCACAACTAATTTTTGATTCCCAGCATCACATTTTAAAAATTGCCACCACGTCCAGACTTATTCTGGACCTACCCAGCTTCCCATCCGATGGCTACTGGGGACTCTTTCGCAACACGCAAAGCAGACAGGGCATAAAGTATAAAAAATTGTAGACCTTAATGATAAGTGTACTATGCACTTTACATAAACTTAAGTGTAATATACACTTCTTTATACTCTGTGAAACAAGATCTCTCTTCGGGAGCCGACTGTTTCTCGGCTGCTCTGTCAAGAACTTTCCAGATTTTTACAGAATTCAAAGGTTTTTGTATATCATCATCTAAACCATTTTCAAGAAACATAAAGTTTTTATGGTAATGTTAATATGAATGATTTTCTCATTTGGTCAACGAAGTAGTGGCCAGGGGAACATACTACTCCATCATCACATCTGTTGATGGAGGCAGTATGTCCCTTGGTAGCACAAATTCCCTCATATCAGATGTAATGGTTGTACTTGGTCACCAGGATGCTGACTGTGGCATATTTTTGAACAAAAGGTGATTCTGTATTGAGGTTAAGAAACTATAAAGAATCCTACTAAAAACTAAACTAAACTGAACCTAACCTAACTTTTACTCCAAGACCTGTCACATGCTGGGTCAGAGATGAAGCCCCTAACTCAGGACAGAGGTTATGAAAATGTGCTGCTTGGTCAGGGCTAACACACACCTCATGGGGCACTGACAGGCATGAAAAAATAACAGAATTATGATAAGCAGGGGGAAAAAATCAATGCAACTCCCAGCGACACATTGCAGTGCCGCTTTGACCACTGTGAATCCTAGACATTATACAGCTCAATGAGAAAAGAAAAAGTTTCCAATAAGTCTTACCCAATAAAACTCGTATCATACTTTACACACAACAAATTAATACCAAGGCATCTCATTTATTCAATTTCATAAAGTCAGGAAGACAGTGCAACAGTACGGTACAAGTGTCAACATTAGTATGAAAAACTAACCCTTCATTTACATAATAATCGTAAATTCACATACGAGACCTTCAGTTACATACTGAATTAATTAAATAATAAGATTATAATTGTTTATTAGAGAGGTACTATGCATTTTGACATAATACCATCACCAGCCATATGTGAGCATTCTTCACTCACATGAAGACAATTCTTTCAAATAAAAAGGTCAGACCAAGTTCTTTGTTACTTCCTGTAATACCTCCATGAATTTTAAATATTCATTCAATACCAATACACATTATTGTTGGCAAGGAGAGTGTCTCAAAGAATTACAAACTCGTGTATTTTTAATATTAGTGATGGAAGGTAAATGTACAGCACATGGTGGACCAGAATTATAATTCCACCTTCCACAAGAAGCTAAGAACAACGATGATACATTCACTTAATTTAACACAAAATATACATCCTTACTACATCCCATAGACCCATAAGTTTGTTAAAGAGAGGCTTGTAAGAGACTGATATATTATTTATTAAACAAAATGTAGAACAACGCCAACAGAAACATGAATATGTGCTTAAATTATTCAATTTCCTGTCAGAAGTCCCACACTTTCATGTTCTCGGCCACTAATGCAAGCACTAAACAGAAGCAGAAAAGTGGGTTACTAGACCATCGGACCTTCCTGTCTTGAAATTCTCAGTTACTATTCTGATGAAAACATCAGGCTCCATATAGACAGAGATTTCCTCGACCAACTCGGCTTCATTCATAAACTTGTTCATCTCACATGAACAAAACTTTGCAACACAAGTGTAACGCTGACTGAAGAGTGTATGGTTTCCATAACGTGGGTCTAAAATTATAATCAGAGAAGGCACGCACACACTCAGACATGCATGCACACAAGAGATTTGCCTGTTCATCCTCATGAAATACACAAATTAACTGGTAGGTGTATGAAAAAATGGATCACATGACTCCCAAATATAACTGAAAAATTTTGTACACACTTGTGACACATGTCACTAAAGGGGAAATGGCATGAGCAATACAGGATATAATACAACTGCCTATTGAAAACAAATCTTCCCACAAGAAATGAAGGTCATGAACTCACCACCAGTCAACATGTGTTTATTTGCTGCGTTCAGTAATTTTTAAAGCATGAATGTGATAAAATGTTTGAAAAATTGTGAAATGTTTGTCATGGTAATTCTTGTGACGTGTGTAAAACAGGTCCCTGACGATGAGGGCCGAGAAGGTTCTCAAAACTTCGCTTCTTTCCGACCACCTGATGTGGCTCTTTGCTTGAGAAGACTTCACTGTGTAAAACAACATGGCACCTGTGCAAAATCTATCTTGTGCTAATTTCCTGCAATTGGTAATTACAGTATATAGACTACGTGAAGTTACGATATGCAAGGGACACAATCACCATTGAATATACGGTCTTGACAATATAGATCGTAATAGATCATTAAAAAAACTGCAGCTTGTATTAACATATGCTGATAGTTTTTTAATAAAAAACTAAATGGTTCATTAGAGGTAAGACCTATAAATTATGTATGAAATAATGTTCATGAGTTGCCAATTACAACTAAAGATAAGGCGTGAGACTCTTGAGTTTACATCTGGTAGAATCCGTGCTTAAAAGTTCATCATCAAAAAAAAAAATGATAAAACCATGACGCCAGCAACAGAAATCTGTACCACATTTACAATTTAAAAAATATAAAAAGATTCTGACTCAAGTAAGATGCAGTAATGTCACCACATATTCCCTGGTACATAAAGGGAAAAGTTAAATTTCATTACATCAATATGTTATATTATTTAAGTTCATTTAATAGACTTAAGTAGACCAGTATCAGTTGAATGATTAATGAATGTATTGAAATGATACAGAATGAAGTGATCATTGACATAATATAAGATTTTATCACATCCAGAGTAACTGAGAAAAACCACCAAACCTGAGGAGAGTGAGTCTCTGGGTTGAGATTTGAACCCAGGACTTCCGTAATTTGTTGCATTTTAAATTATAAATAATTAAATATTCAATTCTTAACACAATTTCTGGGCGGAAGTCTGTGCAACAGAAACGCATATTTTTATATGCTTTGTTTAACAATTCTCTCAGTGGCCCCGACCAGATATGCCTGATAAGGGGATGCATAATGCCTGATAAATCGCAAAGGATACGGAAGTAGACGGTCGTGATCTAAGTCACGGTATCAAGCAGGCACTTTAATGGAGAGTCTGAGGAAAACCACGAAGAAACTTACTACAACACGCTGCTGGGCCGAGACTCGAACCCAGGCCCTCCGTAACACGAATCAAGCGAGCTAGCTATTCTGTTTTTAACCAAACCTTTCAATGATCACTGGCTTAAAATACAAGATACATTATAGTCATTTACTTGAAACTGGAGTGCAATAACATGTGATGGGCTAGAAAGGAAGTTGTTGTTGTGGCTCGTGTTATCCTTACCATTCATATATTTTATCATCTTCCACTCAGAGTTATGTAGACTCTGTATTTGATAGTGCATCGTTATAGAAACGATAAGTTGCAACATAATTCCAGACAGATTAAACGCACCGTTTTATACTTCAATTCGGTTTAAAACATTTACCGCGTAGAATGATTCAACTTCGTCTTCGGTTGCTAAAGCTTGTAGCGTGACCTTGGTCCACAGCAGCTCAGAAGAGACTACAGATCGTGCGATCACACGGTTACAAATGCACTTCTTCCTCCTCGAAACTTATCCCTTGAATGTGTAAACACGAGCCAACTATTACCCTATGAACCACTGCAATTATTCCTTTATTATCAGAGCCAAGCCAATGAATTTGTGAACTAATCTGGAGCATGAAACATTCGTATTGC